TCCATCAGACTTGTGCTAGGGGTGTGTCCCTATTGGACTGGGGCCTCTTCCATCAGACTTGGAGCCAGCTTCTGGGGGCTAGGGATGCTGTGAATCTCCATGCAGATTCTCTGAGGGTACGGCTGTGCATTTGCCTCACACTGAGCTCCAGGAAAGTCAGGGCAGCGTCCCCCTCTCTTATTGTCCTCGGCTTCCAGTTTCAAGATGTCTTCTTTCTCAGCAGACCTTGGTCAGCAAATCCTGTCTCCCTAGGTCCCTCCAATGAGAACCTGTACAGGAAAGTGCGGCGGCGTGAAGGAGAGACTCTGTCTGTGCAGTGCTCCTACAAGAACCGCCGGAACTTTGCTGAAGCCAAGTCTTGGTGCAAAGTCAAGAAGAAGAAGTGTGATCACAACTTCATCCGGAACTGGGTGAGGGGTCCCAGCTACTCTATGAGGGATGATGCCAAGGCCAAGGTGGTGCGCATCACCATGGAGGCTCTCAGAGTTCAAGACTCCGGACGATATTGGTGTATGCGGAACACGGCTGGAAATTTCTACCCCTTGACGGGTTTCCAGCTGGAAGTATATCCAGGTGAGTAGACGTGTACAGCGCCTGGATGAGTGGGATAGTGTAACAATGATTCTTTGCTATGTACATCTTCCTGTCATGGTTTCACAGACAAAGAAAGTGGGTTTTGGCACGCTCTGTGTGGCTCCGACCTTGCCCTTGAGCAGAGCGAGATTGGAACTCGGGACTCTACTTCATTTTATACAATAATCTGAATGTCATATGCTCACCCAGCTCTAGGGATGTGCCGGGCACTGTTATATATAGGCTTTGAGAATACAATAATGAACAAAACCAGCCTCAGCCCTGCCCTGTGGGAGATGCCAGACAGGAACACGCCAATCCAGACAAACCGCTGCACAGCACAATAGATGTCCTTAGAAAACAATGACGAGTGGCAGAGTTACTCAGGGTCAGGGATTTGATTGATGCATCGAGCATCGGAGGACCAGTGAGCACTCAGCAGGGCTCCAATGACAGCTCTCTCACCTATGCTCGGACAAGCAACTGCAGGGAGAGCCTTATGTGCAAGGTGAGACGCTTCAAGGCTTGCACAAGGAGAAGTGGTGTGACTGGGCCACTCAGAGTGGGGGTGGGGAGAGGGTTAGGGGACAGGGAAGGACAACAGTAAGTTTTAGAATAACTGGCTGCATTGGTTTGTTTGTTTTGAGACAGCATCTCACTATGTAGTCCTGGCTGGCCTGGATCTCACTCACTCTGTAGAACCAGGCTGATCTTGAACTCACAGAGAGCCACATTCCTCTGCCTCCCAAGTGCTAAAGGTGTGCGCCACCACACCAGACTAATGTGTTGTTTTTATTTAGGCTTTAAGCATGGAGAGTCGAGTTGTCCTCAATTCCATAATATGGAGCTGGGTCTAATTCTAACTGCAACAGAAAAAAAAAGTATTATATCTTTCTTTGCCTGTCTCTCCTCTCTCCCTCTCCCTCTCCTTTTCCCTCTCCCCTGTCCCGTGTGTGTGTGTGTGTGTGTGTGTGTGTGTGTGTGTGTGTGTGTGTCTGTCTGTCTGTCTGTCTGCCTCTGCCTCTCTGTGCCTCTCTGTGCCTCTCTGTGCCTCTCTGTGCCTCTCTGTGCCTCTCTCTCTGCCCCTCTCTCTCTGCCCCTCTCTCTCTGCCCCTCTCTCTCTGCCCCTCTCTCTCTGCCCTCTCTCTGCCCCCTCTCTCTGCACCCCTCTCTCTGCCTCCCCATCTCTGCCCCCCTCTCTCTGCCCCTCTCTCTCTGCCCCCTTTCTCTGCCCCTCTCTGCCCCTCTCTGCCCCTCTCTGCCTCTCCTGCCCCTCTCTGCGCCTCTCTGCCTCTCCTGCCTCTCCTGCCTCTCTGCCTCTCTGCCTCTGCCTCTGCCTCATGTATGTACAGATTTATGTGTAAGTGTAACGTGTGTATGTCAAGGCCAGAGGTCAAACTCAGATAGCATTCCTCAGAGCTGTCCACACTGTTTTTTGAGACAGGGTCTGTCACTGGCCCACAGCATGCCAAGTAAGCTAGGCTGGCTTCTTGATGCCCAAGTTAAAAGCGCTTTACCGACGGAGCCATGTCTTCATCCCCTTCGCAAGGCAACGATCACTGCTTACAGAAGGTGCGAGTGTGAGAAGAGGCAATGAGACCTAGGTGGATGCCTGACTGGAAACAGCAGTGGCTTGGACAAGTGGGACTTGGGCAGTGTGTGTGTGTATGTGTGTGTGTGTGTGTGTGTGTGTGTGTGTGTGTGTGTAATAGATGGACCCGATTCTATTCTTTTTCAGACTTTTTGTGTATTTTGGAGTGACGGCAGGATTTGCTCAAGTGGGAGACGGGAAGAGAATATTGACTCATCAGTTACTAGGAGACGGTAGCATTTATCGAATAGGGGAACCCCCAAAGAGAGCTCTTTAGAAGGGGAATCATGAGCCCTTTGGTCATGGGAAGACACTTCCTAGGACCCAGGGGGAGAAGTGACTCAGGCAGCTGAAGTGTTAGTGATGGGGCAGAGCTGAGATGTACACTTGAAAGTGTCTCTATAAGGACAGCCAGGGGCATAGAAAGGTCGCTGCTTAGGGCTGGGGATGATCACTAAATGACAAGGTCTCTCTCAGCATGGCTCAATAAAACTGCTCATCACTAATCAAGGGGATAGAAAAAAAATCTCTCTCTTGTGCACAGAAATAAGGGAGAAGAGTTGGAATGGAGGTGTGGGGTCCCCACATTTATAAGACAGGAAAGGGTGAGGGGCCGCCAAGCATCTGGGGAAAGCCACCGGTTGATAGAACATTAGCCACCAGCCCTCTCCTGTTCCCCTCACCTGAGTGCATCTCCATCCTCCCTGGTCTGATCCAGCAGGAGCTTTCTCTCTCAGTTGTGGGGCCGAGTCTCATTTCTTTGCTTTCCCATTTGATGTCAACCCGAGATGCTGGTGAATCTGACTCCGGGTCTTCATGGGGAGGGATGCGATGCCATCATGAAATGGACTTATTTTTATTGTCATTTCTCTTATTATTATTTTTGTGTGCATGTTTGTGTGTATGTGTCAGTTGGGTATGTGTGTGTACATGTGCATGTGTGTGCATGTGTGTATAGAAGTCCATGAACAAGCTTGGGGGTCAACCCCGGTGCCACCCATTCTTTTATTTATCTATTTTCTTTGTGACAGAGTCTGTCACTAGCCTGGAACTTGCCAAATAGGCTATCTGGCCAGTGACCCTCCAGGGATTCCCCTGTCTCTGTCTCCCTAGCATGGGGATTGTAAGCCTGTGCCACCATGTTGGGCTCTGGGGATTCATGTTTGCATGGCAAGTACCACACTGGTTGAGCTCCCCTTCCAGGTCATCATTTCCTGCTTCTGAAGGACAATCCTGGACAGGTAGCAACTTTGCCCATGTTTTCAGTTGTAAGAAAAAAAAAATCTCCTGCCCGTGGGAAGATGGGTCTGTGGGAAAGGACACTTGATGCCAAGCCTGGTGATCTGAGTTCGATCCCTGGGACTGGTATGGTAGAAGGCGGGAACTAACACCTGGAAAATTTCCTTTGATCCTCATCCTCATGCCAGGAAAGTGTGTGCCCACTCCCAAACAAATAAACAAAAACAGAAATAAACATGTAAGCCTCAGGCACTTACAATTCTAACAGTAGTGTGTGCTCCGTCCGGGCCTTGTAGCCCAGGGCAACTGCCGGAGGAAGCAGCTGCTCTCCTGCCCAGCTCCTTCCGTTTTGGAGGTGGGGATGGTTTCCTCTTGGTCACTTTCTCGACTCTCCCTCTCCCACACTGGTGTGCTGAGAAGGAACCAGGGAAGATCATTAGTGGTGTGACTTAGCTAGAGGGTGTGGGAATCCCCTCTGCTGGCTGAGTCCTTTCTTGCCAATGCTTTGATGTGAATGTCTAAACTCGTGTCTCCCAAAATACCCCCTTTAGAGGGTGTTTCTGGTGTCCTTGCCACGAGAGTCTTAGTCATGAATTGGCCTCTTCCTCCATCTCTTGCTTCACCAGGTTGGTGTTCAGGCTTCCCTTGTTCAGAGCCAACAGTTCAGGCCTCCCCGCAGAGTGTCTGAGGGCTTCAGGAGTGTATCATTTCTGTGCCCAGTAGAGGAGTTGGAAGCCTTTCTCTGTCTTGCTCCTACCGAGACTCAAGAGCTCCTGACTGCAGCTCCCACCTGCTGTTCAGACCCCCAGCTGCTCCTGGCAGTTAGAGGTTGGGATGAGCCCCTCAAGGGGCAAGATCTGCTCCTGTGTGTCTTAGTGCACCCCAGCGAAGGTGTTTGACTCTTTCCAGTTTCCTCTGGAATTTGGGACTCTTGGCCCTTCTCTGTCCCCAGTTCTAGTTCTCGTCTGTCAATTATGGGGCAGCTTTCTTTATACCACATCATATTGTAGAAATATCTCTTAAACTCAAAAAAGGGTCCTGAGATGGCTCAGTAAGTCGAGGCACCTGCCATCAAGCCCAATGTCCCGGGTTCAAACCCCAAGACCCATGTGATAGAACAACAAAGCTGACTCCAGCAAGTTGTCCTCTAACCTCCACATGTGTGCTGTGGCCCATGCGCACACGTATGAACACACATGCATATGTAATATGAAAAGGGGATCTCTCTGATGCTTATGATTGAGAAGAGCCTGGAAAAGGACAGGAAGCCAGGGAGGAAGATGGAGCTATGCTCCGGGAGCAGCCTGATAGGGGAGGCTAAAGATTGTTCCGAAGTCTCCCCTCCCTTACACGTCCCCTTCTTCATGCCACTCTTGGAAGAATGCAAGCCTGACAGCCGGAGCTGAGCCCAGAGTCACAGAGAGGCAGGCTCTTGCTATTGTCCTGACATCTGAAGGGGCTAGGAATTCTATCTGAGGGGACTAGAAAGAAATTCTGTCCCTTGCAAGCAAGCCTCTGGCTTAATCTAACTTTTCTTCCTCTCTGGTCCCTCAGCCCTCACAACTGAGAGAAACGTTCCTCTCACACATCTCACCGACACCCTCAAGGATGGATTTGTCACAACCGGCCAAGTCCGTATTTCAGACTCTGAGGCCCCTTTCACATCTGACATGACTGTGTTCACATCTGACATGACTGTGTTCACATCTGGACTCCTCGCCTTGGCTTCAGGGACCACCGCACCAACCCCCGTGACACGCTACAGTTTCGCTGATACCAGTGACACCATTACAGAGCCTGAGAGGAGCATAGAGTCCCAGCCAGCGACTGTGTCTCCTAGCAATGCAAGACCCTTCTCTGCTGATCCAGTGACCACCTCCACCATGCCCAGACAGCAGAGTAGCAGCTTGTCCACCACGGGGACGTGCCACCAGTTAACCCCCAACAGGTTATGTGATATTTTATCAGGCGTGGCCTCAGCACAGCACCCAGAGCCCAACAGATTCAAAGAGGACACTCTTACTTCTAACCATCTCTGTTGCTCCTCCCAGGGACTCAGCATGACCCGTTGCTGAATGGGATTATGGGACATGGGAAAGGTCGTGATGGAGAGCAGTGGGGGCAAGGGTCAGGGCGATGGATGCAGAGAAGGGAGGGCCTGGCCAAGGGAACACAAAGTGGAAGGGGGATGACAAATCGTGCTTGAGGCAGCCTCTGCTGTGCACACAAGAATGTTGTCCCATGGGCAGCGCTTGTCAGATGCCCACTCAAGGCCAAGGGACAGTGACATGCCATCCCCTGTTCTCGGTCACTAGGAGAGGTAGCATAAAGGGCTTGGTGACAAAGGAGGGCACAGGCCCTAGTGACACATAAAGGGGAACTTCTGCTACAGAAGACAAAGGGAACAAGAGGACTCCTCTGTCACCATGGAGGCAAAAATCTTCATCTCTTCAGTCCCGAGGGGGCATTTTGTAGTGTCCTTGTCTTCACTGATGAATGAAGGGGAGGTATCAAGTGGAGACGCTCCCTCTACCCGGTTACGTACTTCCTGGGACTCTGATGTCTCCTTTCTCTTCCCACATCGGATCCTCAGAGAGACAGAAAGACAGAGAGACAGATACAGAGACGGGAAGAGAGGGAGGGAGACACACATAGACAGACAGACAGAGACAGTGAGAGAGACAGACAGACAGTAAGACAGACAGAGGGAGAGAGACAAAGGGAGAGAGGGAGAAGAAGAGGCCGTCTGCCTGGAGGGGTGCAATGTGAGGCTGTGTGCCTGGTCTGTGTTCCACACTGCCAAAGAAAGCTGTGGCCAAGGTGAAGAACCCGGTGCTAACCCTTCCCTTCTGTCCTGTCTCCTCAGGTCCCAGGAGAGTCACAAACCTGTGATGTTGGTGGTGGTGTCATTTCTTCCAGTACCTGTGATGTTAGTCGTGGCCTACGGGATTTGGAAGAAGAAACACATGGGAAGTGAGTACAGCCACTCCTGACCTCCTAGGGCCAAGATCTGGGTATCTGAGAACTATGGACTGAGCCTCTGCCTATGGCCAGGCATGGACGGCCCTACATGTCTCTTAAGGGGATGAAGGAATCGTACTGAGTCCAGAGAGGGGCAGGGTCACCCAGGTGTATTGGGGCACTGAGAGCTGCCAGGCATGGCCCTCTGTCTCATCTCCCTATTCGTTGTAGGATACAACTTGGCCAACAACTATGCTAAACCCTGGATACACCTTCCTGAAGGACCAGAGACACCATGGAAGCCTACTTGGTCTTAGACAACTCAGTGAGCTGGGAAGCTGTTTTCAGTGGGCTCATAAGGCCAGAAGAGGACCAAAAACCAGGCAACAGCCCTGGGGCAGGAGGACAGTAGAGCTGCCTTCCCTTCACCCAGGGCCACTGTGTTCTCGGCTTCCCTCTGTTCCCTTCAAACGCCTCTATATGTTTGGAGACAAAGGTCAGGTCTCAGGAGACCCCGAGGCAGCCAGTGCTTCTAGGGTCCTGTTCTGGATGAGAAGGAGCAGTGACTAAGACCTGGGCCACAGAGGAGTCAGTAGCAGGATGCCCCAGAGCTGACCAAAGCCACATGTCTTCAGATGTTCCCTGACTGTGGCTGCTGGTCCCTTCTGTCCTGGGAGCCCACAGGTCACACGTGTTTCCACTTGTTTCCTGTCTGCCATCCTCTGCAGGCTGGTGACAGCCTTCAGCTACAGGGCTGTCCTCTCTCAAGAGGAGTGCAAAGGCTGAATCTGGTTTCGCCGCTCAACTTCCTCCTCCCATTCTACAGTGATAGCTCATGGAGACCGAGCGCAGAGACTCAACCATGGGTGTCTGCAGCCTTATCTAGAGAGCACCCGCCTCCAGACACTGGGGTGGGCTGAGGACCAACTTCTGAGAAAGGAGAAGCTCAAGCAAGGCCATTTCTGAGAAAATGGAGATACCCTGCTTAAAATAGCAGGAGAGAGAGGAGCAGGGCAGGAGACTGACAAATCAGATTCTAGGAGAGAGAGATGGGAAGGCACCTGGACATACGGACACAGAGACACACATATACACACATGGAGGCAGGGAAGAGGGAGAGGAAGCAGAAGAGGAGGAGGGGGAGAAGAAGGAAGAGAAGAGGAGAGTCCAAACAGCTCAGACTTGCCCTCTACTATCTAGATCACTGGTGCAGAGTAGAGCGGGGCTGTGGACTGTGAGCTGAGCTGCCTCCCTAGCGGGGATGCCCACTAGCCCATGGAGTATGGGAAGGTCCCTGGGCCGAGTTCAACATCTACACTCTCGGCCCTGAGTCAGGGACAGCAGACATCACAGTCAGGTGGGTGGCACAGCCGGGGCCTTGGTGCACACTCTAGGATGATGACTTTGAGGCAAGAAGGACCCAAGTTGTAAAGTCGGGGGACAGAAAGGGGAAGGCATCCCCCCCTCTGCTTCCAAAAGAGAGTGGAAGAGGGGAGATCAGACTGAACAACTGACAAAACAAGTTCTAGAAGAATGGACAGACAGACACACACATACACACCGGACAGACAGACAGACACACACACACATACACACACACCCCTCTGGCTAGCAAGCATCTGTATAGAGCCACCACCCTAGTGGATAACTAGGGAGGACTACCTCATACTGCCTCTGAAGTCTCACCCCCACTCCCATATTGGCCCTGAACCTCCATTGCCCCTTCATTGTCCCTGACAGCCCTGTTTACTGAACAGGTGATGGAGAGGTCAGGCATAAGGACCAGTGATGCCACTGTCCCTGAGCGACCCTGACCAAGCCACTAACCCTGTCTGGGCCTCAGTTTTCTCTCCTTTGAAAGGGGACAATGATTCCTGCCTCTAAAGATTGACTGGGATGCAATGGATGACATAAACAGTGTGCGACATACAAGCATCCTGTGATGCTTCCCCGAAGATCTTTCCCGTCCTGTTGCTCATCAGGAACTGAGGGGGGGGGTTGAGTGTTCCTCCTGCTGCTGCTGTGACTAACACTCTCTGACCAGGGGCTGCAAAGATGGCTCATGTTTAACATGCTCATGGCTCCAGCTAGGATCCAGGCTCAGTTTCCAGCACCCACATTGGGAGCTCACTCTGTAATGCCAGTTCCAGGGCATCTGATGCCCCTCTCTGGCCTCCTCAGGCACCACATATACATGGGGCATATAAACCATTACAAGTACACACATATACACGTATAAACCGTTATAGGTACACATGTATACACGTATAAGCCATTACAGGTACACATGTATATACATATAAACTATTGCAGGTACGTGCTTATACACACAATAGTTTTTTTTAGAAACCTTTAAAAACAATAACAACAAAAACCAGCCACTCTGGCCAAGAGCAGCCTATGGAGGAAAGGGGTTATTTGGCTTATGCTTCCAGGCCACAGCCCATCACTGAAGGAAGTTAGGACAGGAGCTCAAGCAGGGACTTGAGCAGAGACCATGGAGGAGCGCTGTCTGCTGGCTTGCTTGCAGTCCCGTGCTTAGCTAGCTTTCTCATACATCTCAGGACCACTTGCCCAGGGAATGGTGCCTCCCACAGTGGACTGGAGCCTCCCATATCAACTAACAGCCAAGACAATCCCCCAGAGATGTGTCCCCAGGCCAGTCTGAACAGGTTGATCCCTCAATTGAGACTCTCCTCAGGAGACTCCAGGCTGTGTCAAGTTGACAGTTAAAGGTAACCGTCAGCTTCCTTGATCTCCTCTCCTCCTGCTTCTGTCCTCACCTCGGGGATGCTGTGACTCTGTGGTGAAGGCTGGATTATCAGTTGCTGTGATAAAACATCACTGTTGGGAGGCAGCCGATCCAAGGCTCTCCCTGAAGCTACAATGTACTGAGAAGAAATCTAGTTCCTTATCTAACACGAGGAACATGCTAGTAAAGTCATCAACGCCCTGGGACCAGGCTTTGGGGAAGGTGTGATTTCAGACCCTGAAACCCAACACCTCTCCCCCCCCATCCCCCTGCAGAGGAGCTGTGGTTATTAGCAATGCCACTGTGGGCTCTGTCTGTGATACAGTTGAGATATCCCGTGTTACTGTTGTACAGCATTGATTAGCTTCCTGCTGACTTCATCCCATTGTACCACAGCTTCCCCATTCCCCCTCTGCAACCCGTAGAAAAACTGCTGTTCTTGTCAATAAACTTGTCTGGCATAAGCCGTCAGCGTCTGCAAGACCCCCTGATCCCAGTTTTCCTATCTTCTTTATTCAATCCTGGTCTACCCTCTCAGGAACCTGCACAGAAGCCCTCTGATCCAGGTCACACCATGACCAAGGCAACTTATAAAAGGAAGAACTGATTTGGGCTTCCCATTTGAAGAGATGAGACTCCACTGACTGAGAAGCATGGCAGCTTGCACCAGGCTGGAGCAGGATGCTGCAAGCTCACATTTTGGTCCACAAGCAAGAAATAAAGAGAGGGAATTCACAGTAGCGTAAGGACTTAGGCTCTCAAAGCCCACCCTTTATGACATACTTCCTCCAACAAGGCTATACTTCCTAAACTGTCCCAAACTGCACTCCCAACTGGGGACCAAGTGTTCAAATGCCTGAGACTACGGGGAACATCTCGCTCAAACCATTACAGTGGCCTCAGTGCGATCTCCTTGTGAATAGTTAACACTCAACGGTACTGAGATGAAGACCTGAGTCCAAATTCCCAGTGCAGCCCTTCATGACAGTGTGACTACAATGAGTCACTGTCCCTCTCTGATACTGTGTCCCCTTCTGGACAGGAAAACAGAGAGTAGCCCCTGGATACTACCTTTTAGTACAAGGGCATGTGCATGTCAGTTGCATGAACATGCCTCAGTATCTAGAGAGGCAGAGCAAGCAGCGAAGGGAAGCCATCCAGCTCTGGCCTTAGTCTGACAGCGACTGAGGAAGAGGAGGCACAGAGTCGTTGCTTACACATTAGATCCTCACACAGGATCAGATGCTGTGGTACAGGAGGCAGGACAAGCTTGAGTCCTTCAGGGAGAGGAGCCTTGGAGATGCTGCAAGCTCAGGATGGTCAGGCTTCTTAGAGAAGACTGCTCTATGTAGCCCTGAGCGTGGGCTGTTGTCAGGAGGTGGGTGATGCCTGCAGAAGGTTATAGAGATGAGGGTACAGAGACTGCACAGTCCGGACCTTGGGAAGGCTGCCCCCAAAGGCGCTATTTGGACAGAGGAGGTCAGGGCCCCTCTCACTGGCCCCAGCTGGTGAGTGCATGGAGGAGGTCTTCAGAGAAAGAGGAGCTAGGAGAGTGTGGGAGTGACTCCCCATCATGTGTGTTCACACGGAGGTGGGGTTCTGTGAGCCAGCAATACATGAGAGCTGTTCACTCTAATCCCTCCTCACATGGGGATTCCATGGTAGGGACACTGGAAACAGGGGAGTGCTGTAGGCACCCATTTCCTCAGCTCCTGCAGCCTACATGGCTTCTCTGTTCTCAAACCCTAGCCTAGTTGTCTTATTCCTCCTCTTCCTCCTCTTCCTCCTCTTCCTCCTCCTTCTCCTCCTTCTCCTCTTTTTCCTCCTCTTCCTCTTCCTCCTCCTCCTGTTCCTCCTCCTCTTCTCCCTCCTCCTCCTTCTTCTCTACCTTCCCCTCCCCTAGCCCTCCTCCTCCTCCTCCTCCTCTTA